CAGCCATCCCTGAGAGACCCCAGGCACTCCCAACAGGATCTCCCCCTCCATCAACGCCCACACCACGGACAATGATGGCTGAAGCACTGCCTGGCACCAAGGCTGAGTGAGACTCCTGCAGCCCCAGGGAGAGCAGTGCCATCAGCTGCCACTCCACCTGGCTCACGGCTCGCCACCGTGATGCTGCGAGCAGTGAGCTGTGAGCCACACTGGGGCTTGGACCCCAACACGGGGACCCCAGTGATTCACCAGCCCCATGTCCACTCACCTCAGCTCTTCAATCTCCCGGATGTAGTTCTGAATAAGGGCGCCAATGGCTTCGTTACCATCACCTGGAGGGGCAGAGGCACAGGTGGGTCAAGGCAGACATGGGCTGTACCTGGCCCAGTTGCACTGCCTGGGCTGACCCACCCCAGCATACACTAGAGCCCAGCCTCACCTGCCTTGGCCAGCATCAGGTTGGCCTCCTGGCTCATGAGGTAGGTGACCCTGCTGTTGATGGCGTCAATGGCCTCCTGCATGGCCTTCACCCGCATGCGCAGGGCACTGTTTTCCTTCTGCAGCATGGCATTCTCGCGGAACAGGTCACTGTAGCCCTCGGCACCATCCTCCCCCATGACTCGCTTGCCCTGTCGGGATAGGAGGGGAGCCCCCGAGTGCAGGATGAGCTGGGACATGGAGACTTACCACTGCATTCCTGAGGGCATCCCAGGGACACGACGGAAACAAACTTAAGGACCAGGAAGGCCTGAGACGAACAGGCAGAGGGGGAGAGATGCTTCAGGGCTTCTCCCTGCCTTAGCAACCCCAAAACTTGCCCTGCTTGTGGCAGGCAGGAGACAAGACTCCGTCTCTTAAGCCTCCTGAACCCTCAAAGCAGTTACCCCTATCCATAGGGGCATGGAGTGGGAGGCAGGACAGTCCACCCCATTAAACCTGCCCCAATTCAAACACAAGCAGAGGGCATTCTGCACCTGCCCTTGCCTCCTCGCCAGGTTTGCTCCATCAGCTGGGTTTGCTTGGCATGGAGTTAACTCTCCTCACAGCAGCTTGTTTGGACCTGTGTTGAGCACAGCACTGATCCCACAGGGATGATACAGCTCCTGCTGAGCAGGACTTGCACAGCACCAAGGGCTGTCCTGCCCTCTCACCCTGCCCCACCAGTACAAGGAGCTTGGGGGGACACAGCCAGGACAACTGCCCCCACTGACCACAGGGACATCCTGGACCATAGAATGTCACGCTTAGCGTATAAAGCCGGGGGAAGGAAGAAAAAGGCAGGGGACATCTAAAGTGTCTTCCCAAGCCCCCATTGCACACGACAGAGCTGGGCTCTCCTGGGGATGGCTGAACACCTGCCTGTAACGGGACATGGGGAATGAGTTCCCTGGTTTGCTTTACATATTAAACTGTCTGTATCTCAACCCACAAGTTTTCTGACTGTTACTCTTCTGATTCTCTCCCCCCTCCCACTGGTGGGGCAGTGAGTGAGCAGCACTGTGAGGCTCTGTCACCAGCCAGGGTTCCCCTGGGCCACTCACCGCCTTGTACTCCATCAGCTCCATCTGCAGCCGGGCGATCTCGGCCCGCAGGGCACTGAGCTGCTGGCTTGTCTTGTCCTGGTTCACTACCACCTTGTTCTTGATGTTGCGAGCCCGGTTGGCATACTTGAGCGTGTTCAGGGTCTCCATGAAATCCCGGTCAGATGGGCTCACACAGGCAATCATGATGGTTTGGCTTGGGAACGGAAGGGCAGGGTGAAAGACAGTTCCCTCCACCCTACAGCAAATCAGCAGCTAGAAACCCAGGTCCCAGCACAGGCCACGTGTCCCCAGACACCTGTCCTGCATGGGGATCCATCCTGGGCCCTTCTGTGTTTTATAACTGTCCTAGGTTACAATGTGTTTCCAATGTAGGGTGTAACCAATAGTATGTATTCTGTCATCATCTTCACAAGCTGTTAAAGCAGGTGGGGCAGTGTTCCTTATCTCCTACCATGACTCATCCCTGATGGCTCCCTCAGGAAGCTATCTCAGTTTAATGGGCTGTCAAGGACCCACCCCATGACCCATAGAATTACATCTTCCCCATGTAAGATGCTTCACCCCAGTGGGAGGAGCCAAGCATTCCCACCTGGATATAATCTGGGGGTTGGACCAGCACAAGGAGCCCTTACCTACTGGATTCCCAGAGGACAAGAGCTACCACAAGAGCTACCTGATGAAGATCAGATCTACAGGATCTCTGCTTCAACAGACTCTTCACTCCAGGAGGACTGCAACCACCATTTAATCGGACTCCTACCAACACCCTGACTGACAGGGAGTCAGGTTGCTTTCTGACTCTGTCAGTGGTTTCTTTTTGTACTGTTGCATTTTTTTTGGTTTTCCCTATTAAATTCTATTTCTGACTTGGAGTCTCTCACTGGTTTGCTTTCAAACCAGCACAATAACCAAGGTATAAACTGGGTTCATCCATCCCAGAGCCAGAGCACCCACAGGACCACCTGAGCAACACATCACACAGTACTGAGCAAAGGCAGCCCCCACCAGCCAGCCCACCTGTACTGGGATTGCCCAAAGAGAAGGGGCTTTTTGGAGAAGAGACAGGGAATTCAATCCATTCCATTCTGGGCAACACCACCTGCCAAGTCCCAGATCTGCAAGGGCTAATTCTGTCAAAGCTGCTAATTGTGCCTGGGATTGATGAGTCTTTACAGGTCTTTACATGTGCAAAGTCGTGCCTGGAAGAAGGCATTCCCTCCCCATCAAGCGGCCACTGGAGCCCTGAAACAGCTCCTCCATGGCTGCATAGCCCCTTGGTCCCATCTGCAGGGCGAGAGCCCCGCAGCCCTCACCTGGGACCCCCTTACCTGTTGCCCCCGAGGGAATCCTGCAGCAGGCGGGTGAGCTTGGAGTCACGGTAGGGCACATGCACGACTTTCTTGCTCTGGTCTCCGAGGGCACTAATGACGTTCCCCAAGGCCAGCTACCAACAAAAAGGGAAGCCCCTCAAAATTCAGCCCTGGCTGAGCATACAGCTGCCACATAGCCAGCACATCAGGCCTGGGGCATGTGCTGTGGCACAGAATTGGGGTGCACGAAATGGAGGTGTGCGGCTATCCTTGCCAGTTTCAGCACTCGCACCCCTTCCCTGGTATGTGCCTCTCTCCCATCCTGCACTGAGAAGCAGCATTGAGTCCTGGAGTGATTTTTTAAAGTTCAAATTATCAGACCTCACCCTTTTGGGCACTTGCACCCATGTACCCTTCCCACAGCTCTGCTCTCAGCAGCAAAGTTGAGTTCTCGCCACTGGCACTGTGCAGGATGCCCTCAGGGCTGGGTTAGCACAAACCCCAGCCAAGAGAGCAGCACCCCAACAGCACAGAGCAGCTCTGAGCAGGACCCAGAAACCTCACAGGCTCTCCCAGGCAGGCCCTGAGTCTCCACTCCCACTGCCCACCAGGGCCGTACCAGCCCGCAGTTGATGGAGATCCCCTCCTTCGCCCTCTCGCCGGTTGCACCTGTCCGCTTCAGCCTCTCTGAGCCAGCCAGGTCCACGAAGTGAAACTTGGCTGTGAGGGTCTCATACTCAGTGGTGGGCTGGGATCCATCCAGGAGGCCAGTCACCTCTCCGTTCACCTGCAGCCAGGGACACAAGAAGGGTCACCAACCCAGACCCAGAGTGGGCAGAAGTTCCCTTGGCTGGATTCAGATGTCACCCTCCACATTCAGCCCCTTGGAGATGGGGACAAGATCCCAACAGCAGCTTGCTTTGAACCATCCCTACCTTGGATGAGCTCACCCTCAGCTCCCATTAAATCCCAATGCTGGCCATGACTGGAACAGACAAATCCCCACTTCTCCTTGCCAGACTTCAAACCCTCTCCACTTCCCAAAGGACCTGCATGCATTGCCTGGGCATGGGACCCAGGAACAGCCTTGCCACAAGGCAGAAGAACGTCTCACCAGCTCTGGGCGGGTACACACTCTCATCTGGCACAGGTGAATGGTGAAGATGGCATGGGACCGGGAGCTCTGCACGTTCATCTGGGTGCTGGCGGTGGTGCGGGAAAGAGCTCCCTGTTTTAGGCACTGGATCAGCTACAATGACACAGGGCAGGGAAGGACACCTTGAAGGACCCTTCTAGGGTGTCAGGACAGACTGAGCTCTCCCATCACCCTCCTGGGACAGTTCCCCCTTGCCAGGCTGTCCCCACATAGCACATCCCTGGCTGGTGGCACCCAGTTGCCACCCCTGCCCTGTGCCTGCCCCATCCCACACCCACCTCATCCTGCGAGCTGATGAGGCGCGACGTGACCCCCGTGGTGTAGATGCTCCCGCTGGCATCCTCGTGGATTTTGATGTTGGATTTGCGGTGGCGTGCATCAGGGTCACGGGTGCTGTCAAACAGGTCCAGGATCTCCTCATTGTAGAGCTGCACAGGGCAGCAGTGGGCACGGGGTAAGCTGAGGCTGCTCGAGCCCAGCATGGTGGGGCTGGCAGAAGCTGACCCCTGGCACCCTGCTGGCACACGTGCTGTAGCTGGTGGTGTGCTTACATGTGTGTGCAAGGCTGAGCAGGGGAGCTGGTGTGTATGCAAGTGTAAGGAGAGGACATACAAGTCTGTGCATGCAGAGAGGAGATGATGCACAGAATCGTGGAATCCTTCAAGCTGAAAAAGACCTCTAAGATCATTGAGTCCAACCACTTACCTACCACTGCCAAGGTCACCACTAAACTTTGTCCCCAACTGCCACACCCCCATGTTTTTTTAGCACTCCCAGGGATGGTGACACCACTGCTCTGGGCAGCCTGTGCCAGGGCTTGACAACACTTTCAGTTAAGAAATTTTCCATAATATCCAAACTAAACCTTTCCTGGCACAACTTGAGGCTGTTTCCTTGTCCTGTCACTTGTTCCCTGGGAGCTGAGCCCAACCCCCACCCGGCTGCACCTCCTGTCAGGGAGTTGTAGAGAGCAAGAAGATCCCACCTGAGCCTTCTTTTCTCCAGGCTGAGTCCGCACAGCCTCCTCAGCCACTTATCAGACTTGTGCTCTAGACCCTTCCCCAGCTCCATCCCCTTCTCTGGACATGCTCCAACACCTCAATGCCCCTCTTGTCACCCAGGATTTGAGGTGCCTCACCAGTGTCACATGCCAGCTCATGTTCAGCCACTGCTGACCAGCATCCCCAGGGCCCTTCCCACCAGCTTTCCAGCCACTCTGCCCTGAGCCTGGAGTGCTCTGAGTTGCCCTTGCAGACACCAGCTGGGATAGGATGCTGTGCTTGTTTTGGCTGGGTTGGAGTTAATTTCTTCTCAGTAGGTGGTACAGTGCTGTGTTTGGATTCAGAATGAGAATAATTTCGATAACACACTGATGTTTTGGTTTCTGCTAGGTCGTGTTTATCTCAAATCAAGGACATTTTCTTTCTTACGTTTCATGCTCTGCCAGTGGCTGGGGTTAAACCATGACAGACGCCCAGTGGAAGGTGCATGTGTGCACACCTGTGCATAGGTGTGCATCCATGCACCTGTCTGCCCCACAAAGCTCTGAGCTGCAGTCTGGCTTGGTACCCACTACCCAGTCTTGTCCTGTCCCTGGCCCACACGAGCAGCTCTGCAGGAACAGGACATTCAGAGTCCTGCCCCCAGGGTCTGAGCAGACACCCAGGAGCTACACATGGCCCTGACCTTCCTGGCTCACCTGGGGAGCCCCAGGCCACACGAGCCGGTGGAGCCCCACTCCCATCACAGCTCTCTGAGGTCACATCTGCCAGGTGGAAAGAGGACAAGGGGGATCAGAGAGTGCTGGACAAGTGTGGCCCCAGAGCTGACAGAGGATGTCCCCATCCATATCTTGACCCTGCAGCATCCTCTCTTGCCCTGAGGCAGACGGATGTCCGTCCGTCCGTGCCTCTGCTACCATCGCTCAGTGTCACCCTCGCACACCCACGTCCCGATGCCGAGCACAGGGTCACCCGATGAACGCAGGCTCCTGGCCAGAGAACGGATCAGGCTAATCCGTCCCTGGCTGCCCCAGGTGCAACCAGGCTCACTGAGGGTTTAACCCTGCTTCCAGAGACCGCTCCCAGGAGCACAGTCACAGGGCAGGAACAAATCCTGTGCCCCTGCTGGGACAGTGAGATTGGTGACCAGTGCCTGATGCAGCCACATGCCCCGGCTGGCACAGCAGAGCCATTATCACCACCAAACCCTTCCTGGGTCACCTGGATGAGGGTGGCTGCAGGACAGGGCACAGCAGCTCAAGAGCTGTGGGTTCAAGGTCTGTACTGTCAGGGTGGACCAGTGAGCAAAGCCTTCAACAGGCTCTAATAGCCTTGGTCACTGGGCCGCCAGGCAGCAGGTTTTGTCTCCCCACCTGTAACAGAGCCCTTGGAGAGCCTTCCAGCCATGCCAACTGGAAGTTACCCCCCACCCTGGGGCTGTCAGTGTCAGTGTCCCCATTAAGCAGCTTTGAAACACAGCAGAGGAATCTTTGATCGCACCTCCCACCGCCGCAGCCACCAGACAAACATCTGAGGCTGAGAGCCAAACCGACTGGAGTCAGAGGTGATGGAGAAAGGCAGGAAATGCCCATGGCAGCTGTGCAACCCTATGCAGGGCCACTGCTCTGTCACCTCCAGGTCTGCCTCTTGGTCTGCAGAGATACTTCCTAGGATGGCCTGGGACAGAGGCAGCACAAGCATTCCCCCCGTTGCTCATCCTTCACATGTTCCAACCCCAGCAAACAGGTCACCCAGCTCCTGGGGCAGTGTCGGGTCTACCCAAACTGAGAGGGAGAAACTGAGGCAGGAAGACTATAACTGGGCAGCAGAAGATCTCTGGACAGCAGATATGGGGGTCTGAGAGTGAAGAGAAAATATGCCATATAGGGTAAGGGGACACATTGAGGTATCTGACCCTACAGCCCAGGAAAGGCAGAGCTATGTCCCAGCCCCACCAGGGAGAAAGCCTGACAGGGTTCATCCCCTAGGAATTCAGAACAGGCAGGAAATTGTCCCTATTTCCATCCCAGCCCACAGGATCCTCAGAACAGAGGCCCACGAGCCGAGCACAATTGGGAAGGCAGCCAGGAGCTTGAGAGGCCAAGTGATGGGAAGAGAAGGACACAACAGCACCGTGGGAGCTAACAGGGGCTCTGCAGATGCAGGGCTAATTGGGAAGGATTTCTCCAGCAAGGAGGTGACTTTGGGCATTGCTTCCCCTCTCCAGACCATCAACATCTGGAGACACCCAGATATGATGGCCAACAAAGCCACCTGAAGGCCAGGCCACAGCATGGGGCCTCTCCCTGCCTGTCTCCTCTGGGTGCACCCCAGGCCAGGCCCCTAACCAGATGAAATTTGCTCAGGAGCTCAGATATGCTCAACAGTACTCTGTACTTTCTCACTGGGGCCTTAAATCAGTTCCCACTCACACCTCTTTGCTCTTTCACCATAGAAGCACCCCCCAGGGAAACTGCTGCTGACACATGAGGTCCATGGGCTTCCTGGGACAAACTTATCTAGGGAATGAAGCAGTAAACAGAAGAGGCTTTTGAAACAGAGAGGCCAGAGCAGAGGTGGGAGGGTATGAAATGGAACTTTCTCCGGCCAAAGATGCAACAAAGGACATGGGAAATAGCATAGCCCTTCCTCAAGCCCTGACAAGAGCAGCACTTTCTTCTCTTGCTGTTTCACTGGGAACACTGGTCCAGACCCAGGGCAGCAGGTATTCTGTTACTGCTGACCTCAAACAGAGATAAGACAGCCGAGACACCCTGAATCTCCAGGAGACCAAGCCATAAGCCCCTTCCCCACGTGGGGAGCTCTCTCCACTCAGTTTGTAGCCATCACGAGTTCAATAACGTCCAGGTGCTTCAAGTCTCCACTGTCCTGGCACATATTCCCCACACCTGCTGTGGGGTCCAACTCTGTCAGGGAGCCATCAGGACATGAAGGACTCAAGGAGTACAAGGCATGGGAATGGAGCAAGTACAGGGCAGGGCCACGGTGTCCCTCAGACCTCTCAACACCCACCTCCAGGAACTGGGCGCTGACTTTGAACTCAGGTGCCGCCACCCCTCGGCTCTCGGCCGTGCGCTTGCGCTCCTCGATGCCGCTGAAGAGGTGGCCAATGGCCCGTGGGATGATGCCCTGCTCCTCCTCGGAGATGCTCATGTCGAAGCCAGTGCCCATTGTGTACGTCTTCCCTGCGCCGGTCTGTGCAGAGACAGTGAGGGGGGAGCTGGCTGGGCCCTCCCAGACTCAGCTCTGTCCAATGCACCCCACAATTTCCACCTGCCACTTCAGGCTCCCCAAATGCTCCTTCTGAGCCACTCTGATCCTCACCACTACACTGACTCCCACGCTCCCACCCCAGCCCTGCTGTCCTCTCCTCCCATCCAAGGCCACCCTCTGCTCCAGTTCTCACCCAGCCAGAGACAACTCCACATCCAGGAACCCACAGCCCCCAACCCCTCCTTAACCTCTGCAGGTGTCCTCTCAGCATCCCCAGTGCTGCTGGAAAGCCCAGTGCCCAGGCCAGAGCCCTCAGAGCAGGGCCCGTACCTGCCCGTATGCCAGCACGGTGGCATTATAGCCCTCGAAGCAGCCCTCAATCAGCTTCCCCACACACGTGGTGTAGATCCGCTCCTGCCACGTGTCCAGGTCAAAGACAAAGTCATAGGTGAAGGCCTTGTCCTTCCCCAGCAGCACCTGGGGCTCGCCGGGTGTCACTGAGGTACAGATGTGACATCCCTCTATCTTCTCTTTGGGCAGCTGGGGACGGATCCTGTGGGAAGAGAAGCAGGCTGAGGGCAGCCTTGCAGCTCACCCCAGCTGGGGACACCAGCCTGGTCCTGAGGATGCAAGCACAGCCTATACTCTGTGCCAACACACCCTGGGCTGCGTCCAGTCCAGCACAGCAGCTGGATAAGGGAGGGAACAGTCCCCCACTGCTCTGCACTGCTGTGGCCTCACCATGAGGGCTGTGTGCAATCTCAGACACAATATAAAAAGGACATAAAGGTATTATTGAGTCTCCAAAAGAAGGACATGAGGACAGCGAAGGGCCTAGAGGGGCCATATAAGGAGCAGCTGAGGGCACTTGGTTTGGTCAGCCTGGAGAAGAGGAGACTGAAGTCAGACCTCATCAAGGTCTGCAGCTTCCTCATGACGGGCAGCAGAGGGGCAGCACTGATCTCTGCTCTCAGTGACAGGACCAGAGGGAATGGCATGAAGCTGTGTCAGGTGAGGTTTAGGCTGGATATTAGGAAAAGGTTCTTCCCTCAGAGGGCGTTAGGCCACTGGAACACCTGCCCCAAGCCCCAAGCCCGACAAAGCTCAAAAAGCATTTGGACAACACCCTCAGGCACATGGTGGGATTCTTGGAGCTGTCCTGTGCAGGGCCAGGAATTTGAGTTGATGATCTCTACGGGTCCTTTCCAGTTCAGGACATTCCATGACCCATGCTGCAACCATGGCTGCTGCAGGCAATACCTCTGCCTGTGACATGGAGAAAACAGGGCAAGAGATGCTTCAGCTCCTGCACCCAGCCACAACCCTGACCTGTTTGCAGCTGAGAACAGAGGCTAGCACATCCCAGCGATGCCACCAGCCAGCTCCATGGCTGCAATGACAGGCAGGGCTGGGCACCATGGCACAGAGCTGGTAGCAACATGCAGCCTGCACCTAGAACCGTCCCAGACCACCAGCCCAGGCCTGGCAGCCTCTCAGGCTGCGCTGGCTTATGCTCTGTGATGCCCTGGGCAGGCAGTGAGCTCTGGCCTGCAAGCAGACATGGATCAATACACTGAAGCAGCCCCGCCAGGGGCCAAGGCACGGGCAGGCAGTTGGGCTGCAACACAGCCCCACTGGCTCCTGAGGCAGTCAGATCAAACTGCAGCTACAAAGGCTTGAAGTGCAAAATGCAAAAACAAGGCGAGACAGCCCCAGCACCAAACCCACCATGTGAACCAAGGCACCACCCAACCCAACAGCTGTCCCCAGCCAGGGACCTGCTGATGGGATGGGGACAGGGGAGGCTGCGCTGGGCTCCTGCAGAGAGCATGACCCACTTTCTGCATCCCACCCACTGTACTCCATACCCCAGAAACGTGGGAACAGAGCGGCAGGACCCACAGCAGCTCTGCCTGTCAGTGGCTGCATGGGCTGCAGGAAGCTGGGGGCTCCCAGGGGACTCATGGAGAAAGAGGGAGTTTGGAGCCAAGTGCCATGCAAACAGGTCTCATTAGTGCTAATGACTGCACATCTCCTTTCCCCGGGTGCTCCATAAACACAGCTATTAATTCCTCGGAACCACATCCCTGGCAAGCCACAACGCGACCAGAGCAGCCGCTGTGTAGACTGGGACTCAGAAGTGTGGAATCTCTTGAGCGGAAGGCACCCACAAGGATCACTGAGTCCAACTCCTGCCCTGCATAGGACACCCCAACAATCCCATCACATGCTTGAGAGCACTGGCCAAACACTCCTTGAGCTATCAGGCTTGGGGCTGTGATCACTGCCCAGGGGAGTGGTTCCAGTGCCCAAACACCCTCTGGGGGATCAACCTTGGCCTAATATTCAGCCTAGACCTCCCTGACACAGCTTCATGCATGAGCTCCTCACCTGCCCACCCAGTGGCAAGCAAAGCCCAGGAGGGTCAAAGCCCTGGGCTGTGTCTGGGGGCACAGGGCAGCAAGCACGAGCACCCCCTCATCCCGTGCAGCAGATGCGTGGGAACAGTTCCGCACCTCTGTGGGTATATTTAGCTCAGCAGCCACAACAAAAAGCAGTTTCTGATGTGCTCAGCCCCAGACTCCTGCCTGTCGCATTCCCAAGGTCCCACCCTCCTCCAGGAAAATGATTCCCAACTTTAATTACTTTTCATCCAAGATGATGTGTTTTCCCATCCCCACCCTAGACTACCCTCTAAAACCTCCAGTCCAACATCTAACACAAATGCTGCTGGTTGCTCCAGCTGTGAATACCTCATTCATCCTCCCCAGGCTTTGGTCGCCTTACACTTTATTATCTCCCTCTCCTTTTCAGTGCCAATATTGCTCTCTCCCCTTTTACTCTGCTCTTGTGAGACCCCACCTGGGATACTGTGTGCAGCTCTGGTGCCCTCAATGTAGGAAGGACATGTTGGAGCAAGTCCAGAGGAGGCCACGAAATTGCTAAGAGGACTGGAGCATCTCCCCTAGGAGGACAGGCTGAGGAAGTTGGGGCTATTCAGCCTGGAGAAGAGAAGACTGTGTGGAGACCACATTGCAACTTTTCAATACCTGAAGGGCCTACAGGGGAGCCTGAGAGGGACTCTTCGTTAGGAACTGCAATGATAGAACAAGGGGTAATGGATTCAAACTGAAGGAGGGGAAGTTTAGGTTAGATATTAGAAAAAGGTTTTTTGCTACAAGGGTGGTGAGACACTGGAACAGGTTGCTCAGGGACATGGTAGCTGCCCCAACCCTGGCAGTGCTCAAGACCAGGCTGGATGAGGCCTTGTGCAACCTGATCTAGTGAGGAGGTGTCCCTGCCCATGGCAGGGAGGGCTGGGACGCGATGATCTGTAAGGTCCATTCCAACCCTTAAATTCTATGATTCTAGACAGGAGCAGGGACAGCAGCCCCAGGGAATAGGCAGAGGAACAAACTGGACCTGCCGTATGAGCTCCCCACTCCCTGCAAGGGATTAAATACCTGCATGGGGCAGAGCTGGAAGAGGATGAGCAGCAGAGCTGGAGGGCTATGCAGACATGAATTTTCCACAGGCCACTTGGGAACCCACCTCAACCTGGCCATGCTGGGCTGTTCCAGTGTCCACACCCCAACACTGACGTCTGCCCCACTCCCACTCCCCAAACCTCACTGCCCAGCCAGCTCCAAGCACCCAAGGGATCCATACCTCACCCTGGCTCTCACAGTCAGGGGACCTGCGAGGGCTGGAGGGGCCCAGGTGCTCCCTCAATGTGCTCCCCTGTGCCATCCTGTCCTGTCTCCCCAATGTGACTGGAGAAGGGAAGCCCTCAAGAAGGTTCTGCTCTCCAGGCAATCGGCCAAGCATCACTCAGGAATGTCCCTGGAAGCTGCTGACAGTTGGTGGGTGAATACTATGCATCCCACTATGAGAGCAGAACTGGAGGAGTAGGAGGGCAAGAATGGGCACCAGCAGCCAAAACACATGTGGGAAAGCACAGGGACACCATCCAGGATCATGGGGGACCACGAGGACACATCACAGAGGGTTTCTCTAGGACAGTGCAGCTGCTCCTCCTGCTCCCCAGTATCCAACTGTCCGAGATGTCCCACACTAAGCGGGTCCCATCCCTGCCCTCCCAGGAAGCACATCACCATGCCAGGCACTGGGCAACACAAGACTCTGGTCAGGCCAGGCAGGTGTTCATATCCAGTTCAAGTCATGCCCAGGCACCTCGATACTTTCTCCAAACATAGAAACATGGAATTGTTTTGACTGAAAAAGCCCTCTAAGGTCATTGAGTCCAACCACTTACCTACCACTGCCAAGTTCATCACTAAACCACATCCCCAGGTGCCACATCCAGACACCTTTTAAATCCCTTCAGGAATGATGAGGGACTGTACCACCGGCCTCTGCAGCCAGTACCAGGGCTTGACAACACTTTCAATTAAGAAATTTTCTGTAATATCCAAACTAAACCTTCCCTGGCACAACTTGAGGCTGTTTCCTCATCCTATCATTTGTTCCCTGGGAGCTGAGCCCAACTCCCACCCGACTGCACCTCCTGTCAGGGAATTGTAGAGAGTGAAAAGGTCCCTCTGAGCCTCCTTTTCTCCAGGCTGAGCCTACACAACTCCCTTAGCCACTCCTCAATACACTTGTGCTCCAGACCCTTCCCCAGCTCCATCTCTTTCTCTGGACACACTCAGCCCCTCAATGTCTTTCATGTCAGGAGGGGCCCAGAACTGAATGAAGGATTTGAGGTGCAGCTTCACCTGTGCCCAGCACAGAGGGATGGTTGCTGAGCTGATCCTGGTGGCACACCATGGCTGGTACAAGCCAGGTGCCATTGGCCTTCTTGCCTACTGGGGCACAATGCCAGTTCATGTTCAGCTGCTGCCAACCAGCACCCCCAGGGCCTCTCCTGCTGTCTGCTTTCCAGCCAAACATGACATAAGCACCTGCAGAGCCAGCCTGGGCTCTCCCCTGTTCTCAACCTCTCCAAATGAAGCTGGGGCAGGTTGTGGACTTGCTATGTTCTGCTTCAGTTTCCCTGCTCTGCAACAGAAATGAGCAATTTTGGTGGCCATAAGGTCATCATCTGAGCACATTCTAGCACTCCTTGGCCCTACCTCTACCTAAAAAGATCCTGGCAACATCCTTTCTGTCCATGGGTCCACAAGAACTGGGTGTGATGCTGTCAGGGCCCAATCTGTGAACAATGGAGCTACTCACTCACCTGCATTTGGACACAGCCAGTCAACCAGCTGTGTACCTCGTCATGGGCCACCAGCCAGGACAGCTTGTGCCAACCACCTGAACTCACTGCAGAACCAAACACACCAGGGTGCCCTGGCCCAAAGGGGTGAGACACCCACTAAGAGCCCTGCTGCCCCTGAAAGTCCATGACACAGGCTCATGTGTTTGTGGCTAAGGAGCAGCCCAAATTAACCAGTGCTTCACCAGTGGGGTGCTGTGCTGCCACCCCCCAGCTCAGCAGAAGCCATCTGAGCCCCAGCTTCCCCAGCAGACTGTGCCCAGCCAGCCCCACACTGGCACTGGTGACTGCTCCTGCCCAAAGCCGCATGG